CCCTGTCCTTCTGGATGCTTAAGCAGGAGAGGAGAGAGGGGGCAGGAGACACCAGGACTGCAGGAGCTACAATCCTTTCTGCTTTGGTTGCCATTGCTGAGAAGGCTTCTCTGTCCAAGGGGGTGGCAGAGAGCCCTCTCCGGGTTGCCTTTGTCCGGCAGTGTGCTGCTTTGCTCCTGCCCCCAGGACCCGCCCTCCTACCTGGCTGCCAGGTGAACCAGCCTCTCAGAGTTGATCTGTTGTTTCTCTGCAGAGAAAGGAAAGGAAAAGTTTGGTTTGCAAGCTTAAAAGTAAAACAGAAACTCTGGGTTTAAAGATGCTTTACTTCTCCTTGGGGAGGGAGAGGAAGAGCCTTAATGCTCAGCAGCAGATGATGTCCCCATGGCACGACAGCTCGGTGAGCAGCTGTGAACAAGACCCACACGTGGCTCCCTTCTGCTTCTGTGTGCAGGAAACCTTACACAGAAGGGCTGGTATGCCCCTTTTTGGGGGGCTGGCTGTTGTCCTTGTCAAGGTGCTTGGCATTGTGCTCGTAGGGAAGGACAAATGCTGTCTCTGTTGTAGGAGTTTGGGGAAACTGAAGCCAGAGGGCAAGAAGTGCCTGCTGTCATGCAGCTTTTTGGGCCAGCCACCCCCATTCTGACTGTGAAAGGTCTCCCCATCACAAGATGCCAGATCCCACTGGGCTGGACAGGCTGTTGCCAGCTCACTTGGGTGTGATGTGTAACTGCTGCTGTTAGACCAGGATTTTCCAGCTAGGAGATCATTTGCCTAAGTGATTCCGTCCATGTCAGGACAAAGTTATAGAGCACCAGGCTCAAACCAGTCCTCCTGCATAGTCTGCCAGATAAATTGTCCTAGAAGAGATTAGCGGTTTAAATGAAATGTTTGGTCTTGCTGCTGGGACTGTTATTTAAAGCCAGACTGTTACCTGCAAAACTGCAGGGAACATCTCATTGTCTTCAAAAAGAAAATTATAATCCCATGTACTAAATCTCTCGCTGCTGGCTATTTGTGAAGTACGAGCAGATCAGCAAGGGAAGGTGACAAATGTTAACACCAAGTCAGGGCTTTGGGCAAACCTCAGCTGTCAGTCCAGACCTGGAGTTTCCTTCTGAGCTGGTTTGGGGCAGCAGTGGTGAAGCACTCTGCGGACGGTGGGTTCGCAGGGCTGGTGCCTGCAGCCTGCGTTTGCTCAGCACCTCGGGCGAGGGGCCCAGGCGCAGGTGTGGTTCTGGTGCTATTAACTCACCGGCGCTCTGTGTTATCAGAAGGCAGGGAGGGCCCTGAAACCAAACCCGCGTGTGTACCTGCAGCTCGGTTCCACCTCTGCTTGCCTGCAAACTACTTAAGTAGCTTTTCCTGAATGCTGTGTACCCAGGCTGGGCTGGCTTTGGGGAGCGAGCTCCGCAGAGCCGCAGGGATCACCTGTCACTGCTCTGCGTGGAAGAGGTGAGTCCTGGCTTCTGGCTGGCTTTCATCCTGGCTCCTGTGAGCCTTTCAAATCTTCCTTTTCCATCCCTGTGCCCCTATCCTTACAGATCAACAGTTCACGTGATTTTCCTAGTCTGCACTGGCATTTCTTTCCAGCCAAGCAAATCCGTCTTTCTGTATTCTGTGAACAAAATAAAAAAAGGAGTTGATGGGTATTGGGACAAAATGCAGTTTAAACAGAAAAGGGTTCATTATCTGTTGCAACTGTGTCTACAACTTGGTTGCTTTTGACAACTTCTCATCTCTGGCTGTGCATGGGTGTTGCCCCTGGGTACAATGGGATTTATTTTTCGTTAAAGCCCTCTGAGGATGTGGGGGGGAAGAGACAGATCTTCTCTTACCTGCCAATAAGAAATTCAGTCTCTCTGCCTCAACTTGAAATTCTCAGGCAGTCAGGGAGATGGACAGATTCCTGCTTCCTCCCCAGTGGTAGTGAATCACTGCTAGAGATGTCCCTGTGATAAAAGGAAAGGAAACAGGTTTTTTTCTGTGTGCATGTGTGTGAGACATCTTTTTCTTAATGTTTGGGGTTTACCTTGGGATAAGTCCCCTCTGTAAGCCCTCCAGACCCTGGAGTACAGCAGACAGTGGACATTACATCTCCCTCCCAGGTCTAGCTCAGAGTGACGGTGGCTCAGTTAATTTTGTGCTTCCTCTAGCTAACAGCACCAAGGCTTGTGCTGCTGGAGCTGGAGGGCTGCAGCTTAAATTCCTATCCCAAGGCTGTCAGCCAGCTGGGCACCCATCACAAACGAACAAGGCTGAGACATCCTGTGTCTAGCCCACATCTAAGAAAGGTGGTTGCTGCCCCCAATCGCTTCCTTGCAGATAGAGTGCATCTGAAGTAATGCTGAGCATATCTGGGGCCTCTGAGGATTCCTTTGAAGCCATGTCTAGTGATAAAAGGAAAACTGTTGCTGTTCCCCCTCTGCCGTTAGCTTGCTATTTGACCTTGGGCAAGTCATTTAAATGTTCACAGTTGTTAAAAGGAAATATCTTTTGTAACAGTCAAGGTCTAAGTGAGTGTGGAGGGGGAAGGTGAGGGATCCTGGAAGGAAAATAATCGGTACTTATTGTGTGTAATTGGCAGCCCCTCACCTCCTCACCTCCTCAGCTCAGGAGTGGTGCCTCTCCTTTGCAGCAGCAAGAGGCAGAGAGCAATGCTTGTGTCTTTGTAAAAACCTCATCGCCACACTTCCAACTTCACCCAGTCATCTCCATGTGGGTTATGTGGCTGATGGCAAGAGGGGAAGAAAGAGAAAAGGGAGAATACAGAAACTGTCCCAACTGTACCTGTCTACTAAACCTCCTCAGCTCAGGAGTGGTGCCTCTCCTTTGCAGCAGCAAGAGGCAGAGAGCAATGCTTGTGTCTTTGTAAAAACCTCATCGCCACACTTCCAACTTCACCCAGTCATCTCCATGTGGGTTATGTGGCTGATGGCAAGAGGGGAAGAAAGAGAAAAGGGAGAATACAGAAACTGTCCCAACTGTACCTGTCTACTAACACTTGTGCAGTGATGGAGGTCAAATGCATGTGCTCTGTGAAGTTAGGGAACACTGATTTGCACCATGTTTGGTGATAAAGTGGAGTTTTATCTCTGCCCAGTGTAGCTGTGGCAAGGCTGTAGTCCCGCACGCTGCTGGTTCAGCATCTTCTCCTGTGTACACACTTTGCGTCCCGCTCAGCCCTCTGACAAGCAGCCGTTCCAGCTCTGTGAGGTCTGACCCGCTCTGCCAGGCATGGCCTCCAGCACTGGTTGCCTCAGCTGCTGAGGAGGAAGGCCAGTGTTGGCCTGGAGATGTTCCCTGTAGGAGTCCTTTCCTCTCCACTGTAATGGAGGCAAAGAATTTAGAGGGGGAGCGGGCTGCAAAACTGGATTTTCACCTCGCTTCTTCTGATGGGTTCACTGTCTGCAACTAAGTAAGGGAAACTCTGTACCAGCTAGCTGCTCTGGCATGGAGGGGGTGTACAGGCAGGCAGGTACGCAGTAACAACTTCCTCGCAGCCAGGGAGGGAGCAAGCGGAGATAAACTCCTCCGCCTGCGTGTCTCACATTCTGTTCAGCCTCCTTCATCCAAAGGACTTGGGGGCTGTGCTGTGGTGGGACAGGAGGCAGAAGCTTCTGTGCAAATTGGGAGCACACTGCACAGTCCAGAAATGGGTCATAAACTGAAGCACATTCAGGCCAGCGGGACCTGTTGTGTCTTGTCCCCACAGAGAAACTCGGTGGTGGCTCATTTAGGGTGAGAAGTTAGACCATGTGAATCCTGAGAATTAGACAGCAGTTTGTTTTACTCCTAGATTGATGTCTGTGCAGGAGCTTAATGTCACCCTTCTTGCTAACCCATTCTACCTTTCCCAGCATAACTACAGACCATCTTCCCGAGATGCTTTTGGAAAACAGCAGTTTGGTAGACTAGCCTAGATGCTAGTAACCTTTCAGGATTTCTTACATTTGTAGATTGACATAGTGGCAGGCTCATAACAGGTTACTAAGGGGCATCTGCTTACTCTTGCCTTAGCTGCTTAGCCCCTGTCCTGGTCTGGTGGCCTCTCCCCTCTGAAGAAGGCTGGAGAGAGGGAGCATGTTACAGGGCAAGTAAATGACTCAGACTAATGAGTAAGGTAATTGCCATTCACTGTTAGATGAGGCTAAAGTGGGTCAGGTTTGTTTGTGAAACTCCATGGAGGCACCATCTGTTCTCTGTGCCCTGTCTCAGGGGCTGGAGGCAGGATTTGGGTGAAACTGCTGCCCGGGGAGCCTGCGGAGCAGCATGGAGGATGCCCCAGTCATTAGGCAGTGGCATGAGTCTCTAGAGATGACCCCGAGTGACTGCAGGCTAGTGCCTGCAGCTCTGGTCCTCGAAGGGGACTCTTAATTGATTTCACTGGGAGAGGGGACACTAAATCCTCTGTCTCTGTGCTACAGCTGCCCATCTATAAGATGAGGCTGGACAGGACACTGAGAGGTCATTAGACCTCCCTTAGCCCGAAGGCGGGATTGGATTTTCCCAAGCCATGTCTGACAGGTGCCTGTCTCACAAGCCCTTGGAGAGAAACCTGGCACCAATGTAGTTCTTGTCTTTTAACCCTGCTGCTCTCCCAGATGTCCTCTCTTCATCCTCCCATGCCTGCAAGCCTGTTGGGATGGGGACTGTCTCAGCGATGACATGTCTGTGTGGTACCTGGTTTTAGCCCTTTCCCCTGCCCTGGACCCCGCTGTGTCTAACAAGCTCTATCCTCTCTCAGACCACAGCATGTGAGCAGAAGGGGAAGCCTGGAGTGGGATCCCTGCCTGCCCACGCCCGGACTCGACATTGCTGGGGCCACATCTTGCAATAAGAGGAAGAGGAAAAGACGTTTCATTCACCGTTGCTAAAAATGGGAGGCAGCATCTGTCCAGCAGACCAGGAAGGGAAGCTCCAGACCTTGCCTGTGGGGCATCCCTGGGAGCGCCGCAGCCAGAGCGATGCAGCCCTCTGTCAGTAAGGGGAGTCGGGGCAGCATGGCTCAGAGAGCCTGGGTCAGCATGCTCTTCCACAACCGCAAGACCCAGCTCCTGCTGGTCAACTCCCTGACGTTCGGCCTGGAGGTCTGCCTGGCTGCAGGGATAACCTATGTGCCTCCGCTGCTGCTGGAAGTGGGTGTGGAGGAGAAGTTCATGACCATGGTTTTGGGTAGGCAGTTCTCTCATCTTTGAGGTGCTTGTTTCCTCTTGGAGTCTGGAGGGCAGGGGTACATAAGGGCATGGAGGCTTGCCTCTGCGGGGTGGTTGCAGGGCTACTGTTATATCAAGGGCAGCCTTGTGTTTGGAGGAGAGGGCTGTGACCCAGTGAAGCTTACTGAGTTCCTGAAACATCCCACGCTTTTGTTACAGTGCACACAGACCAGTGTCCTCCAGATCTGTCCCCCTAACACCACCTCTTTCTCTTTTCCAGGGATAGGACCTGTCCTTGGCTTGGTTTTTGTCCCGCTGATTGGATCCGCCAGCGACCACTGGCACAGCAGCTATGGTCGAAGACGACCTTTCATCTGGATGCTTTGCTTGGGAGTCCTGCTGAGCCTCTTCGTGATCCCACATGCCAGCAGCCTGGCCAGCCTGTTTGCCCTCAACACTCGCCCGCTGGAGATTGCCTTCCTCATCCTGGGCATCGGGTTACTGGATTTCTGCGGCCAGGTCTGCTTCACGCCGCTGGAGGCCCTGCTCTCAGACCTCTTCCAGGAGCCAGACAACTGCCGCCAAGCCTTCTCCTTGTATGCCTTCATGATCAGCTTGGGGGGCTGCATTGGCTACCTGCTTCCAGCCATCGACTGGGGCGGCAGCTTTCTGGCCCCGTACTTGGGTGGGCAGGAGACATGCCTCTTCAGCCTCCTTGCTGTCATTTTCCTCGGCTGTGTGCTGGCCACGCTCTTTGTGACAGAGGAGGCAGCCACCCAGGCAGATGTTCTGGATGGCCCAGCGCTGAAGGATGCTCCCCCTAAGCCCTCACCTCCTGCCTGCTGCTCTTGCCAGCTCTCCAGGAGCTCATGTCTTCTGCAGGCCAGGCACATGATGCAGGCCCTGAGAAACCTCTGCACACTGGTGCCACGGCTTCACAGCCTCTACTGCCGCATCCCCAAGGTCATCCGGCGCCTGTTCGTGGCCGAGCTCTGCAGCTGGATGGCACTCATGACTTTCATGCTGTTCTACACAGACTTTGTTGGGGAAGGACTGTACCACGGTGTCCCCAGAGCCAAGCCAGGCACAGATGCCAGACGCCACTACGATGAAGGTGAGAAGTGAACCAGCTGCTCTGAGGCTGCAGCACCTGTTCCCTAGGACAGGAGCATTTAGTGGGAGCCAGGAATGGGCTCAGCTCTGCTAGTAATGCAAAAAAAGTTACAGGAAACTAGACTTTCTGCAGATGGGTCAGGAAAAAAAATTCCCTCATGGCCCCCAGAGCGTTGCACAGTGGACCAAATAGGGAAACGCCTCTTTGTTCTCCAACCTGTCCAGCACAGAACTAGATCTGGCAGTGCAGCCCTGGCCTGGGGCTGAACTGTTAAGTGGCAGAACGGTTTGGCAGGTTGCATGCTGAACAGGACGTATCCAGCTCTGTCTGCAAGCTGTGGTTGCCGCTGCCAGATCCTTTCACAGCTCTTCCCTCCTTTTTAAATGAGGGTTGATGGTGCTCCCCATCTCTTGGAGAGCAGGGGTTGGAAAGCCAGGACAGCTCAGTAGCAGTGAGGTGGGCTTTGCTGCATCTTCCTTTCATGCTACGGTGAGATTCCCATCTCACATCTGTATCTGGGGAGCCCTCCAGCAGCTTCCCCAGTTCTCACCCCTCTCTCCAGTGCTTTCTGATAATGCTTACCAGTAGAGTCTGTAGCTGCCATGTCCACATGATGGGATACTGCTCACTGCAGCACATTACCTGCCTACTGTTATTGCCTGCTGTCCCGTTTTGGCTGCTGTGTTGTGCCAGAGCCTTGACTCGCTGCCTTATCCTTCTTTTCCTCTCCCTGATCTAAGTCTTTTATTCTTGGAGGCACCTTCCTGGCCCTCCTCCTCCAGCTGTATATCTTGCCCTCAGAGTTTTCCACTCACTGCCTCCGTGAGCTCTGCAGTACACTGCCTCTTTGTACTGAGTGTCTGTTTAACTTAGAGGGAGCTTAATTATTATTTAACACTTGCACTGTATAGCTTCCAGCAGGTCAGGACTCCATTGTGCTAGCTGTCATAGAAACCTGTGTTGAGTAATGATCCTTGCTCCAAAGAGTTAATGGTTTTAATTCCCTGAAATCTGATAGATCTTTGCAAAGGGTAAGGTCCGGCTTGCTACCGGATACTGGATGTTGTATACTTTACCTTGGCTTAAGCACAATTCTTTGTTCCTTTTGTTCTGTTGCTGGTTTTGGCATCAGATAATAACAGATCCTGGTTCATGAGCAGGTGACAGATCCTGGGTCAAGAGTAGGAAGGTGCGAAAAACAACTTCCAAAGACAAGAATGGCATTTGGATTCCTATCTCCCATTGCCCCTCTGGTTAGACCAGGGTGCCCAGGAGCACATGTAGGAAATAATCGCTGTTAGTGGAGGGTGGGAGCTGCAGTCTGGCTGGTGCAACCCTGGGATGTGTTAGGTGATGCTGCTCTGCTTCCTGACCCAGCCCGGTGGTTGTCAGGGCTGTTTGCAGCTGTGCCACACTCCGCGTGGACTGTACTGAGTTGGGCACTGAAGGAGAAGGAAGGAAGCCCAAAGGTGTTTGGCTGTGTGAAGCCTGGGTGCAGTCAGGGCATGTTTGTCACCACCTCTGCTTACCTGCAGGTGTCCGGATGGGTAGCTTGGGCCTCTTCCTGCAATGCGTTACATCCATCTTCTTTTCGACAATCATGGACCGGATGGTGAAGCAGTTTGGGACGCGGGCGGTCTACCTGGCCAGCGTGGTGTTCTTCCCCATGGCTGCCTTCGTCATGTGCCTTTCCCACAGTGTCGTCGTCGTTACCATCTCAGCTGCTCTGACGGGCTTCACCTTCTCTGCACTCCAGATCCTGCCATATACACTGGCATCACTGTATCATCACGAAAAACAGGTAGGGATCTGCTCCAGAGGGCAATGTGACAGGTAGCTGTGAGGACAGCTTGGCCAGACTCTTTTGCCACTTGTGGCTGGTACAGTCAGTTCAGCCCGTGTAAGAGAAACACGTGCCTGTGTGCAAAGGTTTTCCACATGTGCCTCTTGTCTCCAGGCTGTGTCTTCTCTGAAGATTCATCTGAGATGGAGGAGATAAGAGAGTTTAGCATCTCCTTCCTTAGGCATCCCCTGCTCACAACAAGCATTATGCAATTTTAAAAAGTGGGGAGTGGGTAAGATGGGAGAAATCAGCTAGGATTGGTGTATGAAAAGGGATGTCCTATGTTCCTCTGTGTTCTGCATATTTTTAGGGAAACTGGTGCAGGTTAGTTATACCTGTGTGCATTCTGCAACCAGGTCACATCTGCAGCACTGCCAACCTGAGGTGCTAAAAAACTCAAGAATTTTCAGCCCTTAGAGGTCCTGCTTTCCAATTTTTGTCCATAGCATGAAGATCAGTAAAATGAAAACTGAGGTTCTTCCTATTCCCCTAGCTCCAAGAAAAATAAACGTTGTGAAACTTTTGACACCAACACAAAAGCTAGTAATCCTGTCCCACAGATGTTATCATTGTGGAGAAGTCCTAGGAGGTTCCTGAGTTGCACACTGGATTAATAGGAGTTTCTCTTGTGCTGCAAATGCAAAATTAATTTGTGGTTTGAGAGCAGCTCTTTCATCCCAATGGCAGGCGGTTCACTGTGCAGTGAAATAAGTAGGAGTTTTTACCACAGGCATCCAGATGTTCACATTGAACAAATACTTCTGACCAACCCATCCCAATTTGCACCAGGCACCCTGTCAAAATAGGGGTACGAGGGAGTGTTCTGCTTTGCAAAAACTTCAGTTTGGCTGGGATCTCCCATGGACATAATTTCAACAGAATGAAAACCAAACTCCACAGGCTGGGAATGTGAAAGCCACATGCCCAACTGTTTGCCAAAGGCTTGACGGGGAAACACTTAGTACAATGAGGTGTGGGATATAGCTGGGTTTGGTCTCTCTGTTGCCCTAACTTGAAAGTTCCTCCTTCCTTTACCAACTACTTTGCAGCAGGCTGCAGGGAGACCCCACAAGTAGTCATCCCTAAAATGCCTTTTGCAGAAAATTCTCCGTCTTCCCCATTTCTGTTCTCTTCTTTTTTCTTACTGTTGAAATCTGTCATCATTTTTGTTTGCCTCCCCTCGTTCCTGCTTCCTCTTCTCCCTCTCTTTTTTTACTTTTTTTTAACTTCAAACACTCCTTCCGAAGCGAATCAGCAGAAGGGGCATCCAAAGTGGCTGTTGCTTCCACCCTGTGCGGGATCCTTGGCGAAAGCCTGCAAGGCCACCTCAGCTGGAGCTCCTTGCTTTGCACAGGCTGTGTAAGTCGCTCTGTTCTCCTGCATGCCCTCTCATCTTCGCATGGCCACTAAACCTTGTCTGGAACAGGAGGCAAAGATCCGCATGTTCTAACAGCACCTGAAAGCTTGGTAGAGGTGAGATGCATGGTGGGCATTCACACCTTCTGCAGGAGATTAGAGAGAGCTAGGTTCCTCATTCCCGCTGCTCCCCATCAGCTGTAGAGGGAGATGAAGCTGTTGATTGAGGCACCAGTGACTCCTGTGGTTGTATCCTGTGTTACAAGGGGCGATTTTAAAGCATAAGTTCTCACTAAGCTTATTCCTGTGAGTATGTGTTTAAGTCACTTTCTTTAGATTTAAATTAATTCTCCACACTAGGTATTTAATCACCCCTGCCAGAACTCGTATCTCTGAAGTCCTAGCCTGGATCAGTATAGAAACCAAGAAAATGTGGCATGGGCCTTCAGGGCAGCTGAGCAGGCTTCTGGGAACATCAGTGTCAAATACGAAGGGCTGGAGCTGTGGGGGACATCCTAGTTTGGCTCACACAATGCCCTTTCTGTGCTGGGTTTTGAGTTGCTTTGAAGTCTGATGGCAATAGGAGGCATGTGGGAGGATTTTTAAGCTCCACACAAGTGACGGTCCTGGATTGATGCGTTTAAGCGTAAATTCATGAGCCTAAGCAGAATTGAGGAGTTGAAGGGTATAGTGAGCAGCTGAGCTGAGCCCAGGTAAAGCTGTTGGAAGATGATTGCTATTTAGTGAAGTTCTCATCTGGTTTCTCTTCTCCAACTGAATCTGAAACTGTTTGTGCTACAGATCTGCAGCCATGGCCTGGGGCAGCATGAACAGAGACTGGCTGGTGCTGACATACACTAGGGCAGGGCTGGGTGTAGCTGGGTGGGTGCCAAGAGTGCTTAAAGCTTTGGGGTGGTCTGCAACAGAGCTGGAGTGCCCACACTCCTGCACCAGTGGTTCCTGTGTCCGGGTCCCTCCTGCAAAAGGAAGGATAGTTCAGGCAAGCCCCTCTGAGCCCTGCAGCTGGGTACAGTGCTCTCTGCTCTCAAACAGGTGCTATTCTTTCCTTTTTATTTTGTTTGTCCAATCTCACCACGTGGATAATGGATTAACATGTGCTTCGTTATCTGCTCTACCCCCTGCAGACCAGTGGTTGTGCATAATTGCAAATGCCCTGGAGTTTTAAAGCTGGAGCTCTGCAGCATTTTCACTGTCTGCACGTGACTGCCCATTATTTGTTGGTGTTAACGTGGAGAGCTTTTTGATCCAAATATTCTGTGTGAATACTGCTGGAGTGAGCCATGCCCCAGAGATCTCACAGCTTGAGCAGAGGCAAAAAAGGGGGAGAAGAAAAAGATTTTTCTTCCCCTGCCCCCCTTTTCTAGCCTGAGTGAGGAGGTTCATGTCAGGCAGATGAAGCAACTCAGCTGAGGTCATGCATGCACAGTCTGTTGCAGAGCTGAGAAAAGTGCTCTTTCCTGAGTTCCCAGCACTGTGCCATCTCAGCTGGTGTCACTTTTAAGTATCCCAGATACTAAGAAGCAGCCATGCATCCAGGGCTCTGAACTGTTCGTCTGCCCTTTGGGCTATTCTGCAGGAAGGTTTTGGGTCAGCCACTTTATAAACACTTCTGTTTGCACTGGAGTGCACTGGCTCTGTGATATGTCCAAAGTGGGCTCTAGCCCTTCACTCCTGTCCTGCAAGTGTGCATCAGCTGATTTCAGCTGTAGTTGGTGCTCGGATTCCCTTGGCACCCAGTGAGGAGGTGACAACCCATGGCTCAGCGCAGAATGTCCCCAGGTCCAGAGCCTGGGCTGGCTTTGGGCTGCAGCACTCTGCTGAGCCCCAGAGCTTCAACACAACAAAGGCACCACTTGGCCAGATTCCCCCGGTGAGTCAGGGTTGCTTTGAATCCCGTGCCAGTCAGGAAAAGCCAGGCTGGCTCCTGGAGGCCATCTCACGTGGGCCAGGCTCACTGCAGGCACTCCCTGCCTCTAACAGCCTGACCCAATGCACACAAAGCACAGAGTGGTTTTGCTCTCTTGCACAAAAAACAGGGGCCCTTCTGCCCCCAGCCTCACTTGCTGGGCTCCACCGTGCCTACTCGTTCCTCATGTGTCCTCCTTCTTTCCCGTAGGTATTTTTGCATAAATATAAGAGCAAAGAGGAGGAAGACGCAGCTCGATTGGACAAGAAATCAGCCTTCTCTAAAGGCCACCTTTCCAGCCAGAAGCTGCCTTACCAGAATGGACATGCTGGGAGCCTCTTTTCTTCCTCTTCTTCCTCCTCCTCTCCTCCAGCCGCCGGCTCGGCTCTGTGCGTCAGCTCCTCCTGCGACGTCTCGCTCATGATGATGGTGGGAGAACCAGATTCGGTGGCTCCTGGCCGAGGGATCTGCCTGGACCTGGCTATTTTGGACAGTGCTTTCCTTCTCTCTCAGGTTGTCCCCTCCCTCTTCATGGGGTCCATCGTCCAGTTTACGCAGTCAGTGACTGCCTACATGGTGTCAGCTGCCGGCTTTGGCCTGGTGGCCATTTACTTTGCAACCAAAGTTGTCTTTGATAAGAGTGACATGGCAAAGTATTCAGAATGATGTGGAAGGCACAAGGGCAGCAGGCGGGTGTCTGCACGTGGCAAAATAAGATGTGTGTGTGTTCACGCAGCCACTTGTGGGAAGCCTCGTGTGGCACCTGCTCTCCCCATGCTGTAGCTCTGGGGGGGTAGTTCTGGGGCTGGGGGCAGGAGAGATGGAACAGGGCTAATCTCAGGTATAAATATGAGGCATCGGGGCATTGTGCTTCGGGCCATCAGTGCTTTCCAAAGGTGCCTTTAGCAAAAGAAAGCACTGCACAGCCAGCACCAAAGGGGGTTATACAAGGGAGAGAAAGGAAATGGACTTTTACTTTAATAACGGGTCATATTTCTGAGCAGGAGAGGCAGTGGTACGGGGACAGAGGAAATCGTTGGCTCTCCTGTTTTCCAGTTATAGCTGTATCCTATTCCCCTGCTTGTTGTAGTTTTACTCAACTTCTTGAGCAATACTTCTGCAAATAGGACACTGGGAGGAGACTTCTTTGGGAAAAAAGGATGGGTGGCTAAGGTTTGGCCATGGAGCAAAGGGGGTGCATATGCGTGCACGCATGCTTCCGTCCTTCCCACCTCTGTTCTGACTGGGAGAAACCATTTAGGAGAAAATTTACTCTGTCTTGTTTTGGAAAAACAAGTAACGTTTCATTAGGACCAATTCCAAAAGGTGACTTATCTTTTACCTATGTACTGAGTTGCATCAGATGGAAAGGACTTCATAACTTTTTTTTTTTTTTAAATGATTGTTTTTAGCTTTCCTCACACAGTTCTCAGTAGCTCTGACCTCTCGCTCCTCAGCGCTCAGAACGGCCACCTGCTTTCTCCCCTAACAGATCTAGACTGTTGTGCCTCTTCCACACCTGGCCCGTAAAGGATGCTGCCATATCACAAGGAAAATCGGTTCTTGGAGGGTTTTCAGTCCTGTGACAATGAAGTAGAACAGGGAGAGCTCTCCTGGAAGGCAACCTGAGAACAAGTGTACCAGGCCTGAGGAAGCTGGAGGAATTGCTTGTCTGCTGATGGCTAGTTGAACTCAGCAGCAGTCACTGCTGTAGCAGGTACCTGGAGTTGGTCGCTGGCTGCGTCTGTTTTCCCTTGAAGATGTGTCCCCAAAGCAACCTTCTAGACCAGACTATTCTTGCCAGACAGAAAGGCTTTTGGCTGTGCTTGCAGGCTGTCAGGAGCGCGTCTTGCAGAGCACGCTGCATCCCAGTACCCAGCACGGTGGCTGAGTTAACACATTGCCAGCACACCCAGAGAGGTTGCTGGAAACAGCATCGTAAATAGGAGGTGGGTGGGATGAAATGTGCCTCCAGCCACTCTGTCAGCTCTTACAGCAGGGTAAGCCCAGTTCTTCGTGTGTTGGACAAAAGAAGGAGCAGGACAGAAACTCTTGATGCTGTTCATGCCTGTGGTTTGCTGATCCAGATTACGTATTTACTATCTTATACTTGTTTGGGATTTTTAAAATTTATTTTATTTTATTTCCAGACAGGAGTTGAGATTCTTATTGAGGCACGGCATAAACACAGTTACCTGTTTGAGTAAGGCAAAGTGCCTCTTGCTCCCATAACACTGGGACCAAATGCTCCTGGGTTGTTCAGATGGTGTAGCTCCCAGGTGTGAGTCATCTTCCACTGGCAGAAGAGTGGCTCCAGCTGTGTGTCCTTCTGTCCAGTCCCATTCCTGGTACAAGTGGACCAGCTGGAATAATTCTGCTGGTGACAGATTCCTGCCCCTCGAAGACTACCCGTACACCAAGTAGGAGATAAGGTCCTGGCCCACAGTCAGCACTTAGGCTTGAAATGATCCAAACTCTGCCTACAATGTGAAGAGGAAAGCATGAATTGGTCCTTTGGAGGCTAGGCTGTGAGTATGCAGTTCAACAGTCCTTAACTTTGGCTGGTCTAAACAAAGTGTTTGTGACTAATTTTCTGCGGAGGTGTGTGGGCAGTGAGATACACTTGTGAGGTTCGGCTGAAGGGCAAAATGTTGCTATTTTTCCAAGGTCTTGTCAGACTATTCCTTGGCGTGGAAGCAAGGTCACTCCCCTGCTGTCTGCAGACGGGTCCTGAGAGGGCTTCTCCTAAGTTTTTTAAACATTTCTTTCCCGTAAAGGGTGACTGTTTTTGTTTTATTTCTTCTCAAATTATATGCCTACCAGCCTCCCTTTCCCACAACAAGGTTTGTGTGCTGAAATGTAGCTGTTTTGGGGATGGATTTGGCAGCTGCTTAACCACCTACGGAAACAGTTTTTTGTCTGTACTTCCTACCCTGATCTCTGTCCACTTCAGGCTTCAAGAGGAAGTCTTTGAGGCAAAATGTTATTGCCAAAGGTGGGATGTTTCTTGGATGAATGCTCTTAGTAATCAGTAACCTCTGACCCAAGGTTTTTCAAACAGGTTCCTTATTCAGCACTCCTTCCTGAGTGCTGAAGTGTCCTTTATTTTTATTTTTTCTTATGTTAAATGTGGGGAACCTTCACACATGGAGGCTGCTACCATGCTAAGTGCTTTTGATAATTGAGCCATTTGTTTAAGTGCCTAAAGAGTACTTCCACACCAAACTTAAGGTGTACGGGTTTGATGATAAAGGCCTTGAATGCTTCATTACAGACATCAAAGTGATTCTTGAAAAAGCAGCAGGCTGGAGGGGGAGGCAGCCTTGGTTTATAATGTCATTCAGTTTGGAACCTGAAAGAAGAAGGTGCTGCAGTTCTTGATCCGTAACTTGGATCTGTCCCTCAAGAGGAGAAGGCTTAAGCCTGCCAGATTCCCCGACTGACCTGTCCTCCATCCCTGAGGTGGCTTTGGTGCAGCTGTAGCCTGGCTCTAGCTGGTGGACACGAGTAGGTTTGGGCTCACGGCACGTGCAGCAGGCTCTATGTCTTGACTGATCTGGAGGGCTTGGGATTAGGCAGTGAAGGTCGGGTCTCGGACCTGTCCTTCACTGACAGATCAAGCATGCCGTCGGCCTCCCTGTTCTCCCAACGCCTTCGTTGCACTGGGTCACGGACTTGGCACCCAGATCTCCACGGCAAGTCTGGTGTCTGCATCCAGATCTGGCTCTGATCTCACTAGTCCTAGGAGAGGGCAGGCTGGGTTTGTCCAGTTTTCTCATAATTCAGATATGCTTCTGGGGAGGTGCCTGCATTTACTTCATTTATGTTCAGAAAAGACCGCTGAGCGACTGAACTTGTGACTCTGCAGCCAGCTGCTCTTGCTCTTTGCTGCTGCATCCCAGACGGGTGCCCGTCATCTTGCTTTGGCCTGACGTATGGATTGATAACAGAGCTCATTCTCCGATCCAGCTGGAGAGACACGATCCATTCTGAACCAGGGGCTCCTTATCCACTTGTCCTCTGACTGCACTGCTCTTGTTTTAGCCAATTCAGCATGTATGAGAAGAGCTACTTGATTATCCACCAAAAGACTCTTTGATTCCTCCCCTCCCTCTGGCACCATTCTTCCCAGTTCTCCAGCTGGAGTGAAACCCAGCAAATTCAGTAATTGCTCCTTTCCTTCTTACCCTCCTATTACACCAGGAGAAGTCTGCTGGGCCCTTTGCCAGCTACTGACATAGTGGGCAGATGGGTACAGGAAGGAGTGCTTGCCAAGACCCAACTCTGTCTTCACTAACCCTGTCCCCCGTGGGAGTTCAAGCCCAAACAGATTTGGGCCGTTTGCCCTAAGAGCTTGGCTGTTTGCAGAAGGAGAGGAGGGGTGTAGGAAACTGCCACGTGCAGTCAGGTCCTGGGTGGGTGGTGGGCAGTCGGGGGACAAGGGGAGCAGCTTTCTGTGTAAGAATTCAGCGGGGAGGAAAGAACAAGGCAGCAGTCTCAGAGGAGAACAGAGAGAGATCAGGGCAAGGGAGCAGGAGGAAGAGGGGATTCAGGGGAAACTGAGGTTTGTAGCAATGTGAGGGGCTACAATGGGACACTGGCTGGAACTGGGCTGGCTCTGCCCTGGCAGTGGGTGGGAGCATGCCCCTCGTTGTGGTCTTGCCCTGTCCATAAAGCACTTCATGACCTTTCATGCTTGCAACCTCACACCAGCATAATCCCAGCCACGTCGCAAGAGCTGGCTGTGAAGTCTGAGCTCGGATCTTGAGCTGGGGCTGTCAGCAGCTGCCTTCCCCAAACCCGTGAGGGATGTTGCATTTGCTGTCACTGCAATGGCCCTGTCCACGTGCTCTGTTATTACCAAAAGCCTTTCTTCCTAGTTCAGGCTGTCACTGGGGCTGACAGGAGAGGCATTTTCCAGAGCATCTGTTGAGAAACTCCTTTCTTTGTAAAATTGTCCTTTCTGGCTAACCTGGCGTGCTTCTGCTAAGAACAGCTTCTCTGTGTCGGGATCACATATAGACCAGCAAGGGACACCAGCATGTTCTAGTAAAGGTAAGCGCATCCCTTATATGCCATTACTGATAAAACCTGTGTGAACATAGAAATCTCTCTAGGACTTGATTATACTGTACAACTTGCAGGCATCGGTACAAGCTCTTTCAGAGGCCGTTACCATGAGCTTTTTCAGGTAGTAGGTGCACTTCTGCTTTCTTCTCACAGGGGAATCATGCCGTGCCTCTCCTTTCCTTTTGTGAGATGGGGGTTTTGAGAGTTGAGGTGGGGAGCTGGGGAGAGAAGGGAGAATGTCTTTCAATGTGAGACTATTGTGAATCTCTAGGTTAGGGAGGGATGTATGGATGCTGTTTTTTCTTTTGAGATCATATATTGTCTGCAAGATGTTCATGTTTTATTTATTCAGTAGAGTAAATATTTTGTATACAATGTAAGAGGAAGGCTATTACAAATTTTTATGAAAAGGAGGCAATAAAAGGTGTTTAAATGGGACAACTGTCTGTGTCGCTACACGAACGGCATCGCAGAGCGCGCCGGCGGCCGCCGGGTGGCGCCACCACCGCTGCGGTGAGGGGCGG